GTAGGTACCTAGATAACAAGAGAAAATACATTTCCACAAATATTTTTATTGACAAAATGTAATATTTAGGAGTGCCTGGCTGGTTCAGTCGGTAGAGCATGCAACCCTTGACCTTGGGTTCATGGGTTTGAGCCCCACATTGGGAGTAGAGAGTACTTAAGTAAATAAACTTAAAAATATATAATATTTAGGAGCACCTGGGTGGCTCAGCCAGTTAAGCGTCCCAACTTCAGCTCAGGTCATGATCTCATGGTTTGTGAGTTTGAGCCCTGCGTTGGATTCTCTGTCTCCCTCTCCCCTGTTCATGCTCTCTCTGTCTCAAAAGTAAATGAATAAACATTTTTTTTAATGTCATATTTAAGGGGCGCCTGGGTGGCTCAGTTGGTTGAGCGTCCAACTTCGGCTCAGGTCATGATCTCACAGTTTGTGGGTTCGAGCCCCACGTCGGGCTCTATTGCTGACAGCCCAGCCTAGAGCCTGTTTCAGATTCTGTGTCTCCCTCTCTCTCTGACCCTCCCCTGCTCACAATGTCTCTCTCTCTCTCTCAGAAATAAATAAAACATTTAAAAAAAATAAAAAATAAAAATGTAATATTTAAGTATAATTTTTGGCAATATAGGTCTACAAATGAGAAGAATGAAATTCTCTTTTGAAGGTTTATATTTCGCTTTCATTGGGATTCCAAGTTAGTGTTCCCTATCCTCAAATCGATTGCAAATAGTCATCTGTGATGGCCATTCTTTTTATTTTATTTTTTACTTTTTGGGGGAGGAGAGAGAGAGAGAGAGAGAGAATGAGGTAGGTTAGGGAGGGTCAGAGGGAGAGAGAGAATGAGGTAGTTTAGGGAGGGTCAGAGGGAGAGGGAGAATCCCACGCAGGCACCACTCTCCGCACAGAGCCCAAGCCTGATGCAGGGCTCCACCTCAAGCCCAGGAGATCATGACCTGAGCCGGAATCAAGAGTTGGCCGCTCAGCCGACGAGCGAGCCACCCAGGTACCCCTGTATTTAGCCATTTTTAGCACAAGCGGTCATAAAAGGCAAACCTCAGGTTGGATTTGGCCCATGGGCTGTATTTGCCAACCTCTGGTCTAAAGGGCAATCAGCAAAATGAGTAAAACATACACAGTGTCAGATAGTGGTGAGTTGCAGGGGAGAAAAGTCAAACGGAGGGGGATAAGGGAAGGAGGGCTGGAGGGAGAAGGGGTGGCCTGGAGAAGGCTTCCCCGAGGAGCTGAGGGGGTGAGCCTGGAGGCCATCTGGGGGGAAAACATCCCAGGGAAAGGGGGGGCATCACGTGCAAAGTCACTGAAGCTGTAGCATGCCTGGTGTGGTCCATGTGGCTGGGGCCTCATCAGCTCAGAGACAGCTCCTGGTGGGATGAAAAAACATGGGGTTTTCCTAGGAGATGGGAGCCGTGAAGGGTTTATGTACAGATAGGCTTTCACATTTTAACAGCTGTAAAGTATTCCATTGATTGGACTATTAGGTATTTAACAAGTCCTCTGACGGACAACTTTTGCTACCCTATTAAAATTAATGAGGCTAATACTTGCACGTGATAAAAAGAAAAAGACTTGGGACAGGACGTGTAGTTAAGCCTCTCCTTCCCACCCCTGCCTGGCAGCCACCCAGATCCCCTCCTGAGAGACAACCACTGGTACCAGTTTCCTGTGTCTCCCTCCACAGGTGGCTTCTGTGTCTCTAAGAAATACCTACCTATTTCTCCCACTTTCTATGCAAATAGTATCACATTGTGCAGGCCGTTCTGCTCTTTGGTTTTTACCACTTGATGTCTTAATTCCACATCCATCATGTACAGAGCTTTCTCCTTTTTGACAGGTGTGTAATATTACTGCACTGTAATATGTTAAGTGGTCCCCAGATGAGCCTTGGCCTGAGTGTAAGAGCATCAAATACTACCTTGGGATGCTAGAGGGACGCCATAGGAGGCAGCCTCCCACACAGAACCAGGCACACAGGAGGTGCTCAGCAAATTGGAATGAAAAGGGTTTGCACCTCTTTTCTTGGGAGTCCCCGACTGTGGGCCACGTTCAACAGGCTTGGACCCAAAATCTCCCCTGAAAGCCATTTATATCCTGGTGATTTGACTCCTTCCGAGGCCGTATGGAGTCACAGGCCCAAGGCTGAATCACTGTTTGCTTTCAGGCAAGTGTGAGACACTCAGAGAGGTTTTGTTTTTTAAATCAAGGAAGGATAAGGGTGATGGTTGAGCCTTGACTCATTCCTTGAACTTTCCGTAGACATTGTCTTCTTCCTGGTCAAGATTAACTCTGATGGATTCAACCACCTGATTAAAGATCTAAGCAACAGGGGCCAATTGGCCTAATATACAAAGCTTTTGGCAGTTAAGAAATTCATCAATTCCATGACCAAAGGACATAAAGGGATAGTTTGAACTCGGAGAAACAGAGTGGCTTTGGAACATGTAAAAATGCTCCACCCCATTCATGTGAAATGCAGATTGCCACAAGGAGGTCTCACTTTGCTTTATCAGATGAGCAAAGATAAAGAAGTCAGAATATACCCTGCCTGGCCTGTTTTTAAGGGGCCTTCACTATCCTGCTGGTGAAACTGTAATTTAGTTTAACCCTTTTGGATGACGTTTGGACAAATGTATCAACATTTTATATAACATACCTTTGACCCAGAGTGCACAGATGTGTGTACCAGAAGTCCATGGAAATTGCCACCTTGTTTATAAGGTAGCGGAAAAATTGTAATGTCTAACCTAAAGGCTCTGGGGAGGGAGAGTCCTTTTGTTAAACACATTGTGCGATTGTAGTATCAGCCATACAATGGAAGAGTCTTCGGTCTTGCAAAAGATGAAGGAAGCTGCATGTACTGATCTGGAGCAATTTTCAAGACCCTGAATATTGTTACTTGGGAGGCTAAAGCAAGATAATCGGCTATCACGTGGGCTCCCATTTGTGGTACATAAAGAAGGCAGGTACATATTAGTGTGTGTGTGTGTGTGTGTATATATATATATATATACATACATACATATACACACATATATATGTCTCCTTGTTTCTATAAAGACCATCTCTGGGAGATCATACAAAACACTGGTAAAAATAGTTGCCTTTGGGGAGAGAAATGGATATCTGGGATGAAGGGAGGCTTTCTTTTTTGGTTTGTATAAGTCACATTTTTATTGTTTTTACTTTTAGTGGGGGATGGATACCTGTAGAAGATGCAGGCCTCTGTTCAAATGTGTCTTCCTCTCCGAGGCCTTTCCCGGTCACGTTAGATATTCCCAGACTTCTCCAAGACAGGTGTACCAGTTTCCACCCCGTTAGTGGCACGTGTGCCCAGCCTCGCCCGCGGCGGCTCAGAAGCGGTCTCGGGGAGCGCCTCGGCCAGCAGAGGGCGCGGGAGGACCACGCCCTAGGGCGGGGTGCGGGGAGCGAGCGCCCCGCCCGGCCCGGTTCTCTGCAGCTTCGCCAGAGGCCGCCCACTTCCGGGAGGACCTGACACCCCTGCATCAAAAGTGTCGCCTCGCTTTTCCCTGCTATATGCCCCTGGGGCAGCACCTCGGGGAGCTGGTCTGTGGCCCCGAAGCCTTGTTCGAAGCCCCCTCCCACCTCGCCGTCTCCGCCCCTTCCAAGAGGGAGTGGAGCGAGGGCGGGGACAATTCAATCAGAAAGGAGGGGACAGCCCGGATCTGAGAAAGGATCCTCCCCCGCCCTCCACCCCTTCCCGGGCGCAGGTGTCTGACCGACCGAGGAAAATGGAAACCCGAAGGCCCAGGCAACGGTGTCTCCGCACTAGCGGCCCCTGGACTCCTCACCCATGTCATGTCCTGGACATAGGAGTCATTCACTCTTCCATTATGGGATTGTACCCTCGTTTGTTAATCCATGATACTGCTGATAAACATTTGGGTCGCTCCCAATTTTTTGCTATTAGGAGCAAGGCTTCAGTGAATATTCTCTTGTTTCTTCTGAGTTTGGGGCCGGGCAATAGTTCTCAGTTTTGACTGCTCAGTAGAATAATCACCTGGAGAGTTTTTAAAAATGCTAATACGGAGCTTCCCCCCCCCCGCCCCCCCCACTAATTAAATCAGGATGTCCGTGGGGGTGGGGCCAAGGCTTGGGTATGCTTAGCGGAATCTAATCTGCAGCCAGGGCTGAGAATCCCTGGGATGCTGTTGACCTAGGAGTAGACTGTTACTAGCTGATGCCAAACTTTTTCAAAGTGGTTGTGCCCATCCACACTCTCCTCAGCATGGGACAAAAGTCCTGCTGCTCTCACACCCTCCTCAACACTTGACATTGACCAAATTTTAAGTTTTTGTTCTTCTGACGGGTGTGAAATGGTATCTCGCCGTGGTTTTAATTTGCATTTCTCTCATTACTGATGAGACTGAGCCGTTGGTGAAAAATGTTGAAACAGACTGAAAAGGAGGCAGCCAGGTGAAGATCTGGGGAAAGAGGGGGGGGGTGCAGCCGGCAAGTGCCAAGGTCCTGTGGTGGTAAAGGGCTGGAATGTGGAGGAACACAAAGAAGTGGGGGGGGGGCAGGGATCATTGTGCCTGGGGACCAGGGAGGGTGGCTCAAGACAAGGTCAGCAGAGGTCAGATCAGCAGGCGGAGGGCTGTGGTGAGGACTTTGGCTTTTACTCTGGGTGAGACAGGAACATGGAGGATTTCAGCAGAGAGACACGGTCTCTCTCCTCCCTCTGGCTGCATGCGGAGGACGATCATGATATTTTGGAACTAAACAGACACAGGAGAGGGGTATATTCTAGGTGGAGACTGCCTATGGCCCATCTCCCCCCGCCCAGCCCCCCAGACTCGATTCAGCAACTAGAACACGATTGTCCCAAACAGACAATTGTCCCTGCCCTCATTCTAGGTGGTGAGTGGTGGACTTACAGGTTTTCATAGCCCTTGCTTCCTAGATGAAAACAAGTTGGGTGGAACTTATTTATGGATTTATTTCTGTACCTCCACCCCCACCCCAGGCCTGGCATTGTCCTGTCTGGAGCGGTGGGTTCACAGGAGAGCTAAGGGTGGGGCTCCAGCTGTCCCTCCCCTGGGCCCCCGCCTCGCTGGATCAATCAGTGCCCCGGCCGTGGAGCCCGGCGTTAGATCCCTTAGACACAGCATTGATGACCCCCAGAGAGGTGAGAAGACCTGCCCTGCCCTTCCCCACTTCTTTCTCCCACCTGCCCAGAGTGATCTTTCTCAACCAAACTCCAAGCAGGTCCCTCCTCGGCTAAAAATCCTGTCTTGGTTCCCAGTGTCCTTGGGGCAAAGTTCAAACTCCTCTAGGCCCTGGAGGCCCAGCAGATCTGACCTCTCAGGCTTGGCCACCCCACCCCCATCCCTTGGGAGCTGCTCTCAAAGACTCTGAAGCAGTTACTGATTCTTACCTCGGGCCTTTCCCCTCGGTATTTCTTCACTTCCTCTGGGAAGTTGCCCAGACCCCCTGTCAGGTGACCCGTTTCTTGACCGTCACGGCGTCCTGTGGCCTCCCCCCATCAAAGCACACTTCCCTTTGCTTAATAATTATGTTTACTTGCGTCTCTCTCCCCTACCAAACGGCGAGCTACACTTAGGTAGAGACCCCGAATGTTTTGTTCAGGAATGTGTCCCCAGCTCCGGGAATGGTGACTGGCACGTAGCGGGTGCTCAGTAAACATTTGCTAAGTGAAGGAACGGATGCCTTTTGCTAGATGATGCCAGATTGCTCTGCAAAAAAGGCTGTGGCACTTCACACTACCAGCAGCCACGTGAAGGTGTTCATTTCCTCGTATCCTCCCCCGAAATGTGTATGGTCCTTCGTCAATCCCACGCTCTTTGCGAGGCGCCAGCCTGGCCGAGGAAATTTCCGCCCCCTCCCCAAGCCGGAGGCGGAGACGGTTTCGGAACCTCAGGTGCCCAGACCCGCGGCGCGCGGCGCCAGGGGGCGCCAGAAGCAGAAGACGGTGCAGCGGCGAGCAGGCGGGCGCGCGGGGTCCCCGGGGGGGTCCTGCCTCGCCTGGGGCTCCCAGTGCCCGCCCCCGGCAGTAAGCCGCCTGGCGGTCGGAGCAGCGCCCGCGGCCCGGCCTCCGAGCGGCCCCCGCCCGGCCCCCAGCGCCACGCGGCGCGAGCCCCGCCAGCCCCCTGCGCACCTGCTCGGGGCGTGGCCTCCGGCGAAGGCGCGTCCCGATTGGCGCGGAGGTGACAAAGGGGCGTGGCCTGCTCCGGCCCCGCCCGTCCAGAGGCCGGAGTACTTAAAGGAGTTGGCGGCGCGTCTCCACTCAGAGCGCAGCGGCACGGCCTCGCGGGTGGAGTGCCTCGCGACCCCTGCGCGAACCGGCGACCCCCGGCTGCTTCGGCCACCATGCCGCGCTCTTTCCTTGTCAGGAAGTCCGCCTGCTCCCGCCGGAGGCCTAACTACAGCGAGTTGCACGACTCTTCTCCAGGTGAGTGGACGGGGTGAGGGACCCCAGGGGTTTCGGGGGAACCGGCGAAGGCTGCCTGGGCAGGGGTGGGGGAGGCTTGGGGGAGGGGGACTCGGGGGCAATATCCAGGGCCCAGAATGGAGCCCAGGGGCCGGGCGCGGGACGGTGTGCGGAGGGGCGTGAGGAGCCCGGGGCAGGTGAATGGACGGTTGGGGGAGGGCTTTCCGAGGGTAGTGGTCCTGCGAAAGGAGGCTGCTCGGCGGCCGACAGGGGAGAAGCCGGGGACGGGGGCGGGGGGTGCGTCTGGGAAGGGGAGGGAACCGGGGCCCCCCGAGTCGAGGCCGGGCGGCGGCGCCCTGCATGTGCGATCTGGAGGCCGGGGCGGGCGAGCGGGGCGGCGGGGGTAAGGAGGGGCTCCGGGAAGGCAGGACCGGCCGTCGGGGCCGCGGGTCTCTCCTCCCCCCGGTAAGTACTGAGCGCCGGCCCCGCGCGCCCCGCCCTCCTCCCCCCGCCCGCAGCAGGCTGCTGTTTGTTGACTGACTGTGCGACGGAATGCCTGACCCTGCCTTTTCTCCGTCTCCCAGCAGAGTTTGCCTTCCAGCAGCCGTACGACCAGGCCCACCTGCTGGCGGCCATCCCGCCTCCCGAGGTCCTTAACCCCACGGCCTCGCTGCCCACGCTCATCTGGGACTCGCTGCTGGCCCCGCAGGCACAGCCCGTCGGCTGGGCCGCCCCACGGCCCCAGGAGGCCCCCGGGGCTGCGGAGCTGACCTCCCTGTCGGACGACGACAGCGGGAAAGGCTCGCAGCCGCCCAGCCCCCCGTCGCCGGCCCCTTCGTCCTTCTCCTCCACCTCAGCCTCGTCCCTGGAGGCCGATGGCTACGTCGCCTTCGCCGGCCTGGGCCGGTTGCCCGCGCAGCTGGCGGGGCTGTCGGTGGCCAAGGACTCCCAGACGCGCAAGGCCTTCAACTGCAAGTACTGCAACAAGGAGTACCTCAGCCTGGGGGCCCTCAAGATGCACATCCGGAGCCACACGCTGCCCTGCGTGTGCGGCACCTGCGGGAAGGCCTTCTCCAGGCCCTGGCTGCTGCAGGGCCACGTGCGCACCCACACCGGTGAGTGTCCCGCGGCCCGCTCGGGGTGGGGGTGGGGTGCGCCGCCGGCGCCTTCCCCGGTGCGGAAACTGAGGCTCCAGCCCCCGCTTCTGGAGCCCCGAAAGGTGCGGCGAGAACATCCACTCATCCCCTCTGGGCACACGCCGAAGGCCCGGCGGTCTCCATGTCTTCGCGGGCTGGGGGGTGGGGGGGAGTTGGGGTGTGGGAAAGTGGGGGCCAGGTGTGAAGGAGCCCACCGAACTCCGCCCTCCCCGCCTGGCCGGGATCCTGTCCCAGGACCTCTTCAAACCTTGAGCTGCTGTTTCTCCTCTCTGGGCCTCAGTTTCCTCACCTGTAAAATGAGCACAAGGCCGTAGTGTGGGGGTTCCCTGGGTTACAGGAAAGAAAGGTGTGCAGGGAGCACCTGGGCTATGACTTGATAGGTGATCTATGACTTGATAGGTGATAACTGAAATGTGTTTGTTTTTTTTTAACGTTTGTTTATTTTGAGAGTGAGGGAGGGGCAGAGAGAGGACAGCACCACATGGTCAGCACGGAGCCCCATGGGTGCTCAAACTTACAAAATGGTGAGATGGTGACCTGAGCTGAATTGAGCCACCCAGGTGCCCGCTGAACAGAAATGTTTTTGATGTTAGCTCTCCTTCCATGCTGTGTGACCTCAGGCTAGCGAGTTAACCTCTCTGAGCCTCAGGATTGTGACAGCATAATCAGACAGGGTGGGCTGGATAGCGTTTTTTAGGGTGGCTGTCACGATTCAGTGGTTCCTTAATCACTTCATAATAACTTTATCTATCGTGGTTCTCAGATCTGTCCCTGCCCCCACCGTGGAGCAGATAAACTCAGTGCTGCCATGCAGGCCCCGGGAATACCTTTGCCGGCAGAAACCACAGTTCTATCTGTGTTTCAAAAACTTAATACTAAACGTGTAAAAAATTGTGAAACGGAGATTTTCGATCCTCTAACTTTCTGGAAATGTGGAAAAAAGGAAAAGGCAGCCTCCATGTCCTTTCAGAACTTGAAAGATGGAGCCCACCACATTTGGGGCTGCTCTTTGGGGTGTGACTTTGGGAGAAGGTTCAAGGGTCAGAGCTGTCAGCTTTGGGGTCAAGCTGACCGGTGTGGAGGCCTCCGCTCTGGCCTTCCCTGGCCCAGCGGCTGACCTCTGGGCCACCAGGGTCCGCGGGGTTGTTCGTTAGGCCTCCCGGCACCCTCCCCAGCCTGCGGTCTGCGCTGCGCCCCCCCCCCCCCCATTTCTCTTACTTTGTGCACACCGAGTCCTGATTTTAAAGGGACCTGATGTAAAGGTCCAACTGCCTGGCCTCTGTCCTGGGCTGAGAGGGCTCTATTTGGGAGTGTAGAAACCACTGGGGTGCTCCTGAGCCCCCCAGCTCCGCTTGCCTCCCTCCGGACATTATTTTCATGTAAAGGCATGGCCCCGACACAAAAAGCCTGTTGAAATGCACCATCACCATCCCCATTGACTCCCATGGTGAGTCTTAATGGTGGGCCCAGTGGGTGGGGGCTGGGGGGGTGGAGCAGGTGCACGGGCCAGTGGTGCCCAGCACCTGTTCCGGCCGCAGCTGCTGGCCCACGGCGTGTCAGGCCCCTTTAATCCGGGGAGTATCGCATGTACAGTGCCCCCCTCAGCGGCCTTTGTCCCCGCCGGCCTGGTGCCGATTTCACACTCGCCAGGATCACCATAAAGACGTCTGCGGGGGCGGGGGATCTGCAAGGGGTGCGGGCCTGTGCCTGCTGCTTGCACACACAGGCCTCCACCCCATCACATCCTACAAGGGAGGCCTCCCTCCTTTGTCCATGTTTATGTCTGATCCTACATGCTGTGTGGGAAGGGCACTGCCCAGGGCCTCCTTTACCTGGGTCAATGCAGCAAATCAACAGCCCTAGGAAAGAGGTGCCGTCGTAACCCCCACCTTACAGATCAGGAAACTGAGGCACAGAAGGAAATCACTTTCCCAAGTCACAGCTCAGAAGGCCGGAGCCAGGGTCCCTTCACCTCTGCTAAGGAAGTAGAGAGGGTGGTGGCTTTTTGTGCCCTGGGGAAACAGGACTCCATGTCCCCTTACCCACGTCTGCATTCAGCAAGCCCTTAGTTCACCAGGGAGTGTGTGAGGGGGAGGAATTTCGTGTGGACCTTGTGGTGCAGTCATTAGACCTTTTAGACCTAGTATGCAGAGGGCGCTCAATAATGACAGCCAGTTAACCCAGACATCCCTTCCCTAGTCCTCCTGCTAAGTCCCCCTAGTCCGGTGTGGCCCGTCTCCTTGTGTATCTGCCCCAGGAGACTGAGCCCAAGGATGGCTGGTTCTGTAGTGGCCCTCAGGCATCGACTTCTGGACCCTCCCTCCCAGTGCCCAGCACAGGGCCCCAGGCACCCAGAGGCTGATGGGATTCATTCATTCCCTGCTCCTGAATTCCAACACTGGGATTTAACCAGTGGGCCATGGCCTAGGGGCGTATTTTAGGCCGAGAGTAGGAAGGTAGAATTCTTTTTTTTTTTTTTTTTTTTTTTTTTTTTTAGTAAAGAATGTTTAGAGTATTATTGGCTGACACATAGTGGAAGTTTGATAAGTCCTTGTTTACTGAGCTGCTATTTGGGCTTTTTATTTAGTAGGAAATGCTGCACCCCCAAGACAACAGAATCACATTGTCCGTGTTTTTGGACTGTGTACTATATCGTCTTCACTGGGGCAGGAATTAGGGAAAGTTGGTGAACCAGCATTATCTGGTGGTGATTGAAGGTCAGGCTCCTCTGAAGCTTTCTCTTTGTATGAGCACTTACTGAGTGAGCACCTACTGTGTGCCTAGCTCTGCGAGCAGGACTCTTCAGCACGGCCCTGGCCAGGCACAGGTAGAAAGGGGTTCCAAGCAAGTCATAGGTAAAAGGTTTCTGTAGCCTCTTGGGGGTCCCAAGCCCTGGGCTAGAGGCTTGGGATAAATTTAGGGGAGATCCCTACTCATGGGGACACGATTATACATCATGGGGGACAGACAAGACTTGAAATCACCGGAAAGAAGGTGGCTGGGCGGCAGCATTGTGCTGGGGAAGCAGCTCAGGGAAGTGGCCCAAACTGCTGGGGGGCCGGGTGTGGCAGGGAGCCTTTAAGGCCGACCCAAGCTCTGTCCCCAGATGAAGTGAATCCAGGCGTGATAATAAGGAACACCCACTATAACCCCCTTGACTGAGAGGCCAGTCTGTGTAGTGGTTAAAATCAGGGTCTCTGGAATCAGGCTGCTTGGTTCTTGCTGGGTGACCCTGCATTCCTACTTGGCTTCTCTGTGCCTCAGTCTTACCATTTCTAAACTGAGGACAAAGGTAGGACTAAATGACGTGAGTGTCCCTGGCACAAAGTAAGTGTTCAGTAAATTCAGTCGCCGTCACTGTCCTGGCTTGTTGAGCGCTCCCAGCCAGCTTGCCACAATGAGTGCTTTATTTACCACTTCTGGGTTACCGACTCCTGTAGGTGCTGCGGGGGTGAACAGCTCCATTTTACAGATGAGCAAATGGTGGCTCAGAGAAGCCAGATGACCTGCTCAAGGTCACACAGTGGGAAGTGGCAGAGCTCCGATCATATCCAGGGCTTTGGACGCTAAATGATACGGTTTTTCTGGGTCATGGGATTCCTTCAGGGTTGGGGGCATCTGGGTTCAAACAGCCGGGGGTGAGGGTGGGGGGCCAGGACTTCAGTAAATGAGTGTCATCTGTTACCCCCAGTGGCTTAGCACTCAGGGCTCCTGTTTTCTGTCCCCAGGTGAGAAGCCCTTTTCCTGCTCCCACTGCAGCCGAGCCTTCGCCGACCGCTCCAACCTCCGGGCGCACCTCCAGACCCACTCGGATGTCAAGAAGTATCAGTGCCAGACGTGCTCCCGAACCTTTTCCCGCATGTCCCTGCTGCACAAGCACCAAGAGTCCGGCTGCTCAGGGGGTCCCCGCTGACCCTCAAACTCCTCCTGCCTCTCCAGACCCTCCCCCGACCGCGCAGCCGCCCCAGCTCCAGGAGGAAGGAGCCTCCCTCCTCACTGCGGGACTCCCTCTGAGCTCCCCCTTTGGGTTGCGTTTGCCCCGCAGGACTCTGAGGACCTTTTTCCTGTTCCCTCTGCCCTGGTGCCTCAGTGGGCTCGGAGGGAGGCCTTTCCGTGGACGCTTCTGTGAGCGGCGGACGGGGAGGGCGGCTGGTAGCCCAGTGTTTCTGGAGCCGGCCTTTCTGCGTGGGTTTGTGTATCCAAAGGTGTTTGGATACAGCTGCTTTGAGCTCCGGGACGAAAGCAGACAGACTGATAGGAAGCTCCCCCCCACTCAGGGGAACCCACTCCTCCCCCGCCCGGAACCCTCAGGCCACCCCTCCAGGAGGTGTGACTGACTATGCAGTAATCCACCCCCAGGGTCACCCCCGGGGCCTGTGGGGGCGGCGGACACAGGACTGGTCTAGACCCCAGGATGCCCCCGGGCCAGGCAGCTATTTCAGCCTCCCGTTTGTCATGGTGTCACCTGTTTCATGGGCAATTTAACATCAGTCTCTTTTGAGACTGTGAGTAATTGCCGTCACTTGTTGGGGGCCCGAGTGGGGTGCTTCAGCCTGACCGATGTGTCTCCCAGGACTATTTTTGGGGTCTGACAGGTGGGCCCGGGAGGAAGATGTTTACATTTTTAAAGGTACACTGGTATTTATATTGCAAGCGACATTTTGTACTAAGGAAACGTTTTGTATAGTTATATGTACAGTTTATTGATATTCAATAAAGTGGTTAATTTATGTATTAAAAAAGTCTAGTTTCATAGAGGGGCAGGTGTTTTAAAGAGCCTTCTGGAAGGGAGGAGGCGGCAGGGATTCATGGAGCTCTGGGATATTCCGGACACAGGCCTAAATCCTGTCCCCTTAAAACGTGGCTTTGGACTTCTGACTTTGACTGTCAGGGACTTTATTTGTGCACATGGGTTTTCCTCTGAGCCCGGGTGTCCTGTGTGATGTAGAGGTTGGGAAACACCTGTGGGCCAGTGAGCAGTACGGGGGCGGGGAGGGTATGCAGGGTCCTTGCACTCGACATTGTGACCCTGATTGATTCAGCCTTCCAGTGTGAGGCTGGCCAGGCCCACGGGGTGAGAAGCCAGCTCCCTGGGTCTTATCAACCAGACAGGCTGCCGGCTTTGCCCCAGCACCACAGGCCTTCTGGGGAGGGACGGGCTGCCTGTGGGGAGGGAGTGGAATGCTGTGAGCCAGAAGGGGACAGAGGATGTCCTTCCTGTTTCCAAGGGCTCTGGGCCCCACTCCGGCCTCCCTGTCGGACCCACACCTCTGTCTGGCTGCTGGGTACCAAATGGCCTTTGATGCAAGGAAATTGGCTGGCTGGAGCCGAGAGGGTGAGAAGCCAGGCCAAAGGGTAGGGGTCATTCAGCTTCCTGCTCGAGGACAGGATGGGAAGACGGTCAGCTTGGGTCCTCGGCTGGGATAATTCACTCCTGGCTGGTTGTCACGGTGACCTCACCTCTGGGGCCCTCCTGGGGCCGGGAGAAAATGAGTGTCCGCTCTGAGCACAAAAGGTGCTGAAGGTGCCAGTTTCCTGTGGGGAGCCGAGCAGGCGTCGCAGAGCCCCAGAGCCCCAGAGTCAGGCCGGGGGTGGGGGGAGCTTCGTGTTCCAAAGGAGAGATGATTCTTTCTTCTAAACAGGAAATGGTGACCCGCAGGCCGGCCGGGAGCAGCCCTTAATGACTTGCAGCTTTCCTCCCAAAAGAAAAAAAAAAAAAAGTTCTCTAACAATCGCCAAATTGTAGCCGGCCTCCCTGAAGGGAAGTTAGGGAGTTGGGGGGGGAGGGGGGGGACGGGGGTTGGGCACCAATTTGCTGAGGGCCTACTGTGTCCCACGTTTCTGGGCCGCCATGTACATCGCAGCCCACGGTAGGTGCGGAGACACCACCGATGGTGAGGGAATAAATGACTTCACACCCCCCGGGGTGGCAGTGGGGGGGAGGGGTAGGGCACGCCTGGTGAAACCCCTCCCCAGCATCCAGGGTGGGGTGTACCAGGCTCTGATAATCCTGGGACACGGGGATGCCTGGCCCGTGCCCCAGTCAGGGCCTAGAGCCAGGCTCTGCCCCCTCGGGGCTCCCCAGCTTCTGCCTCTACAAAATGGGGCGATGGCTGTGCCTTCCTTCCCGGGGACTGGAAACGGGCGTGCATTCAGTAGGCCTGGAGCACCGCGTGAGCCAGGCCCTGTACCAGGCCCCGGGGGTGGGGGTGGGGGGGCCACAGCGGCAGCGGACAGAGAGTGCCCCCTGCCCTCGTGGCACGGAGGTTCTAGTCGTGGAGACAGAACACAAGCCGCTTTCCTCCTCCGGATAAGGATAAGGCAGGCTGCTGAGACCTGAAGGAAGAGACAGTTCAGGCGAGGAGGGAGTGGCAAGCGCAAAGGCCTGGGGGCTGGAATGAACTTGCCCTCCGCAGAGAAAGACCAGGGGTGGGATGGGTGAGCCACTCGGGTCCTGGAGAGCATGTGTGCTTCGTGAGGACTTGGGATTTTAGTGGAGCCTCTGGGCCCCCGTGGGCACCTAAGCAGGGAGGGAAGAAGCCTGCTTTACTTGCCCGGCTCCGGGGGTGGGGGGCGGGCAGGAGAGGGGAGGGGAGAAATGAGCTGGGAGCCCCCAAGGTCCCAGGGCACAGACGATGCTGGCCTGGCCCAGGGTGATGGAGGCTGTGGGAGACTGACTCAAGAGGTGGGTGCTGGCGGGCACACCTGAGTGCTAGCGGGAAGAGTTGTTAAAAAGGGCTGTTGGTCCGGGGCGGGGGTGGGGGGCCGAGGTGGGTGGGGAAAAAGGAATGAGGAGGGTCCCTGTGTCCTGACACGGAATAGTCCCTGCTTAGCCACACTGCTACATGAAAAATAACTTGCAGTCCATGCTTCCTTTTGTGGGAAAAAGAGAGGGTGGAAATAAGCCTATTCTTCATTTCTGTTTATATTTGCATCTGGAAACTCTGGATTTACAATAAAATAATTAAAGCATTTCTCTAGGGAGTCTCAGGAGGTGGAATGGGGTGTTCTGAAATAAGAGAGGAGTGGGGCGCCTGGGTGGCTCAGTCGGATGAGCGTCCGACTTAAGCTCAGGTCATGATCTCACAGTTCGTGGGTTTGAGCCCCGCGTCGGGCTCTGTGCTGACTACCAGCTCAGAGCCTGGAGCCTGCTTCAGATTCTCTGTCTCCCTCTCTCTCTGACCCTCCCCTGCTCACATTCTCTGTCTCTCTCTCTCAGAAATAAATACATTAAAAAAAATTTTTTAATGAAATAAGAGAGGAATAGGGAGATGGTGTTTAGATTTATAATTATTATTATTATTATTTTAAAGACTTGTTTTTGTTTTTTTTTTTAAGTAATCTCTACCCCCAACATGCGGAACGAACTCATGACCTGGAGAATCAAGTGTGGCATGCTCTACCAACTGAGCCAGCCAGGCCCCCCAGTTTTTTAGATTTTTTAAAACACTTTTTATTTTGAAATGATTTAACCTGACAGAAAAGAACAAACACCAGGAATCTTTCATTCAGATTCTTCAAAATTTTGAACATTTTCTTACACTTGCATCTTCTCTCTGTACACACACACACACACACATACACACACACACAGACACGTACCCACACATTATTTATTTCAGAACCATTTGAGAGTAAGTTGTAGACATTGATGCCCCTTGACTGTTAAACATTTAAGCATGGAGGGGCGCCTGGGGGCCTCAGTCGGTTGAGTGTCCGACTCTTGATTTCAGCTCAGGTCATGATCCCAGGGTCACAGGATCGAGCCCTGTGTTGGGCCCCCGCACTGAGCATAGAGCCTGCTTAAAATTCTCTCTCCCTCCCCCTGTCCCTTCCCTGACTCATGCTTTCTCTCTTTCTCTCTCTCTCAAAAAATAAAATTTTTGAGCATGGATATTTAGGGATAAGAACATTCTCTCATATAACAATAGTTCAATGATCAAAATCGGGAAACTGAGCATTGGTGCAACACTATTATCTAACGTTAGCACAGTCAGAGCCAAGTTTCCATAACGGTCCCCGTGATGTCTTCGGCAGCACGCTGGGGGTGCCTGAGGGGCAAGGTCCCAGGTCCCAGCTTGTCCTATAACCTTGTTTCCTTTTATTCTGGAATAGCTCTTTTCTTGGTCTTTGGTGATTTTGACGTTTTTGAAGGATTCGGGCCAGCTATTTTGTAGAATGTCCCCCACTTTAGATTTTCCTGATGCTTCCTCATGATGAGTTTATTCTTTTTTTTTTTTAACGTATTTTTGAGAGAGACGGAATGTGAGTGGGGGAAGGGCAGAGAGCGAGCTGGGGCCGTGTGCTTTTGGCAGAACCACAGAAACGGCGTTGTGTCTTTCTCAGTGCAAGGTATCATGAGGCACATTGAGGTCCACTTGTTCCATTATGGGTGACGTCAACTTTGAGCACTCAGTTAAGGAGGAGTCTGCCAGGTTTCGCGGGGATAAAGCTCCTCTTTTTCCCCTTTTGTGTTTAATCTCTATCTTGTGGGGAGACATTCCAAGACCATGTGAATATCCTGTTACTACCCAAGCTTCCACCCACCGTTGCAGCCCTCACTGGCGATTTTTGCCCAAATCAATGATTACTGTGGTGTTTGCCGAGTGGTGATTTTCTAGCCTCATGGTTCCTTCTATTTTTACTGGTTGGCTTTCTACCACAGGGCAGAACTTGCCCCCTCTGTCTGGGCCCAAGCTGCTCAGAGCCGTGGGGTTGCCAGAGATGGAGTGGGAAGCAGCAGGGTCTGGCGGGGCCATTCGATCCTCCCCTGGGCTCTTCTTTAAAACGAGTCCAGGAAATAAACTGGCTGTAAAGCTGATCGCCACGCAGTGTCCTGGCAGGCAGGCCCTGGGCCAGGGCCACCTCTGGGCACATCTGGGCCCCATTAGTTACCCCGCAGCTACTCCAGAGTGACGCCTGAGCTGGGGTGGGGGTACTCTGGCAGGCGGGGGTCCAGGTCCTTCTCACTCCTTTTTGCTTTCAAATTGTCAATGCCACACACATCATGGGAGTTTATTCTGTTTTTTTTTTTAAGTTTATGTATTTTTGAAAGAGACAGAATGTGAGTGGGGGGGGAGCAGAGAGAGAGGGAGACATAAAATCTGAAGCAGGCTCCAGGCCCTGAGCTGTTAGCACAGAGCCTGACACGGGGCTCGAACTCACAAACTGAGATCACGACCTGAGCCTAAGTCGGACACTAAAGCGACTGAGCTACCCAAATGCCCCAGGAGTTTATTCTTTACTTTCAAAAAAAGAAAAGAAAAGAAAAGAAAAGATTAGATATGAGGCTCATTTGCTGTGTGATTAACACACCTTATCCTAATGCCTTTACTGTACTCAGTGTGGTGAAGAGCTCAGTTCCTATCTGTCTAAATTAAAAAATAAATATCTACTTGGCACGTACTCCGGTCTCACAGGAAAAGCCGAGCTGTCCCCTTGGCCCACAGGTGCTGGCTCTGTCTGCCCTTCACCTCTGCCTCACCCCCTCCCCCACACCCTCACTCCCGCCAGCCTCCCAGGCCCCCTGCCACCTCAGGGCCTTTGCACTTACCTCTTCTTCTCCCAGGGAGCCACACGCTGTGTCCTGGCAACCCTCCCGGTCCCCTTTGCACTCACTGCCCTCCCCTATTGAGGTTCTTCTCCACAGCACTTGTCACCATCCGACAAACTGTATTTTCACTGTTCACAGTTTCTGGGTTGACTGTCTCCTCACCGGAATGTCAGCTCCCTGGGA